TGCCCCTAGCGGAGCTGGGCGGCACGGCAATGGCGGCGCCGGGCGGGGCTGCCGCGGGAGGCTGGCGTGGTGCAGGGGAGTTCCGTGGCGCCAGGCTGTAACTCCTTGTTTAAACATTAAAAGCAGTTAATGACCTTTAAGCTCCCGGTGACGTCCGATAGCTCTTGTTCCCGGAGAGAAATGACCCCCCTCCTGTTTTCCTCTTCGGCGCGCACAGTACGTTAATGTGGCTTCGCTTGGATCAGACAAGGCCTCCTGATTATTTTACTGCCGCTAACAGCGTTTTGTTAAAAGCTGTATGTGTCTGTTAGGCACGCACTGCGTTAAAGATCTCTGCAATTACATATATTGCCTCTTTTTATAAAATCCAGGCTAACTGGCTTAGAAAAATAAAGTGACAAATTTGGGTCAGGATTTAAAGCAGACTCTTTTAAAAAAACTGCCTGCATTAGTAAGTAAGCACTATATTTAGTTGTTATTTTTTAATAACGCTGCTGTGTACTAATGCTGCCGCAGGAAAGAGCAGGTCCGTGTATTTTAGAAGGAGTGTGTTAGCCCAGTGTCCCCGTATGGTGCCTGTACAGCACCTTGTATTTTACCAAAGACTTGGCCATGCCACGGTGTCCTTTTTGTGAGGCAAAAAGTGGGTGGCCTGTTGAAGTCTGTGTTGTAGGTGTTGACAGAGCTGTGCTGCAGCCTCTGCCTAGCCCCAGCGTGCCAGGTGCATGCGATCAGACCAGCTCCTGCCATGACAGTGGCCATGGCAAGGCAAGAGAGGGGCTGTGGCCCTGCTTGGTGTGGCAATCTCATCCGGCCTTGAAGTATGACCTGTGCTCAGCAGCGGCCTTCCACCATCACTTGACACACCTGACAATACATGGGGTCTGGCAGTGCTACCTTCAAGGAAGGTGGTGTTGTGGTCCATCTTGCTCAGATACACTTGAGGTACCGTTCCGTGACAGTCTCAATACCCCAGGGCTGATAAAGGGTGGGTGGAGGTAGAAGGATGAGGACCCTTGTCCAAGACATATAATTGCCTTGGTGGGAGAACAAGGAATAGTTTATTGACTCCTGTTCTGAGTTTTTTAGACCATTCTGCCTGACATAAAGGTTGAAATGACAACATCCTTAACGTGATAATGGTAGGACATACACTTTCTCCCTTAGAAGAATTAAGCTGTTAATGCTCATCATTAATACCTCCAGCCAGCTGGTGGTTAAAGCCCTGGAGGGAGTTTTGCAGCAAAACCAGAGAGTACCTCACAGTCCACAGTGGTGCAAAGCCATACTCAGCAGCAGCTTAAGCCAGAAGAGCCCACTAGAGGCATTCACAAGGTGAATGTGTTTCTATGCCCTGTCTACCATAACACACTATTCCTGATTACAGACATGGAGCTACATCCCTTTCTGCAGGGTTGGAAACAGGCTTTCATGTACAAAACAAGTTATTAATTTAGTGTACTTGGAAGATTTTTCACATTGGCTGCTTTATTGTTATGATTGTGTGTTTTTTTTCCCTGTTACAGGAATGTTCTTGAAGTGATTGATTTCCACCATGTTCTCACAGTCCTCGTGGAATCTGTTAAAGATTGCAAATCTTCATCTCAGGAGTCTGAACTTAAATCTGCAGTTACTGAATCACAGAAGAACTTTCAGCAAGTCACTGCCTGTATGTCGAAGGAAAGTAGTTGTTACAGGTATTGGCTTAGTGTCCCCTCTTGGTGTGGGGACTCAGTTTGTGTGGAAGCGCCTTCTCCAAGGAGACAGTGGGATTGCATCGCTAGATGGGGAAGAATATGCAGGCGTACCATGTAAAGTGGCTGCTTGTGTGCCAAGGGGAAATGAAGAGGGTCAGTTCAGTGAAGAAAGCTTTGTGTCGAAGTCAGAGATCAAATCCATGAGTTCTGCCACTGTGATGGCCATCGGTGCAGCAGAGCTAGCCATGAAGGACTCTGGCTGGTCTCCCCAGTCTGAACAGGATCGTTTAAGCGCTGGTGTGGCAATTGGGATGGGAATGGTTCCGCTGGAAGAGATTTCTGATACAGCTGCTTTATTTAAAACAAAGGGTTATAACAAGGTCAGCCCATTCTTTGTCCCCAAGATTTTAGTCAATATGGCAGCAGGCCAGATCAGCATTAAATACCAACTGAAAGGGCCGAATCATGCTGTGTCAACTGCTTGTACTACAGGCGCGCATGCTGTTGGAGACTCCTTTAGATTTATTGCTGCTGGTGATGCTGATGTCATGTTGGCTGGAGGGACTGAGGCTTGCATTAGTCCTTTGTCCTTGGCTGGATTTGCAAGAGCTCGGGCCCTCAGCACAAGTTTTAACTCGAGGCCTAAAATGGCGTGTCGACCGTTTGATTCACAGAGAGAAGGGTTTGTAATGGGAGAGGGTGCTGCTGTGCTGGTTTTGGAAGAGTATGAACATGCTGTACAAAGAGGTGCTAGGATCTATGCAGAAGTTTTAGGTTATGGACTGTCTGGTGATGCTTGCCACATAACAGCACCTAATCCAGAGGGAGATGGTGCATTCAGGTAAGAACTGTATGTTGATTATGATGGGTTACTTCGTATGTTAATTACAGTGGGTGCATGTTTCTGTTATTGTATGCTTTTCCTAGAGAAATGCTGTTCAATCTTTAAGTAATATTCCAAAAGCCTGAAAACTTAATCTGGAAAATGAAAGAGCTTCTGGTAAGGTTTTCACCCCAGGTTTAGTGGGGGTTTTTTTTAGTAACAAGGTGAAAGCCAGTTCTTGCTTGAATCAGTTTTTTTGCATAGAGTCGCAAAAGTTTTATGTGAAAACATTTTGTGTTTGGTACCTACAGCTGTTGACACAGTTAAGTCTCAATGGAAATCTCTCTTTTAGATTTTTGTGGTATGATGGAACCTTTTCAGGTTCTCCTTCACACTTTGATCATAAAGAAGCGAGACCCCACTGCAAAAGCAGGTCATGTCATTTGTTGTGGTCTTAGAGTGGAATAGCATTCCTGAATAAATCCCGAATGATGAAAGATGTAGAGTACTTGGAGGATTTGGTTTGTTAGAATAATTACAATAGATGTAATTAGTGTTAATTGTGGCTATTGTTATTTAGAAAAGACTTTGGCTTTTCACAGGATCATATGCTGGTGCTGCAATCATGTTTAAATACTAGAATCTGATACAGCTGAGCATGTTGGTGGAGAAGCATAGCAGAAATACACTTTAGTACTGTTTAGTGAGTTGCTAAAGCTTCATCATTGGTAATCTCATCAAAACCAGTTCACAAGTAGATTGTATTAATTTTATCTTTATCTCTGACCTAATTAAATTGTTAGTGAAATTACATGTGTAAGTATATGTACTGTTTGTGAGCTTTGTGTAGGCTGCATACTATTGCTGACATTGAAATATTTAGTAAAGATTTAGACTACATTATTGTGAATGTATGTGGATATCTAATAAAAAAATTCAGTATATCACTGCACAAATAGATCAAACTTCTACATAATATTGTAAAGCTGTGTTTGCATCTTTATTGGATTAACAGATTTTTCAGGAAGTGTAATATACCAGATTTCCCTCTATGCTGTTGGACTCATATTTAATTGTTCTGCAGACTTATGTGCGAGTTGAGTAACCAGAAGTGTCTTATCTCAGATTTTCAGACTTGTTTACCCTTGAGATGATATGGCAATATATTGTAACACAATTTTTGTATATTTTATGATTGCAATAGCATATAAATTGAATTTACAGTGGGAAGTAGTTGAAAGTTAATCTTGGTATCTTCAAAATGTTGAGCCTTTCCACCCCTGAGATGAGAGAATACATTTTAATACAGTCTTCAAACTAATATTTTGTTACTGCAGTTCTGTATGTATTAAATCTGAAATGTGTATGCTTCTCTTACTTTTCTGTAAGAATTTTATTTGCTACGTCAAAAAATTCCAGGGGAATATATTTTTTGTCATCATCTAATAACTGCTTCAGTTGGAGACTAATACATATGTTGAAATAAACCTGCAGGATAGGAGAGGCGAAGCCAGACTCTGAAATGTGGATATAAAGTGTGTCCTACGCAATTAATCTGTTATCTCCTTAAGTAAATATGCTCCTTGCAGCTGACGTATTTAACTAAATTAATGTATCTCTTTTCCTCTCAGTTGATCAGTAATCTTTTTTGCCTTAATGTGGCTTACTGTGTCCTGACAGCATCAATGGCCTCCAACCTAAGCGAAGCTGAATGCTTCTCAGGATAGAAGGCTGTACTGGAGATATTTAAATTTGTCCAGCAGCCTGTGGTATCTTTTTTTGAGCTTCCTATTTATTTACTTATTATTCATAAATTTCAAAAGAGGAGTGGTCCTTTTTTCAGAGATAGTTCATTAAGCTGTATGTGCAAGGACGGATGTGTGATTCATTCCCTTCCTTCTGTGGAAAATTGTGAGAAAATCACAGTATGGAGTTGTTTCCATCTTCCTGTGACTTTCATAAAAGAGCATGTTTTATAGAGATGCTCACAGTCCACGGGTCATCAGGAGTTGGAATGGAACATATGATGTCAGAGGAAAGAGTGTGACTTTCAGTCAATTTAATTTTATATGTAAGAATTTGTGCTATCTCCTTGCTACTGTAGGGGCAGGGACATCTTCTAACCTCTGGAAAGCATGCAAAATAA